AAATACGCAGTTGTGATGAGAATCAAAATACCTCTAAAACAGGGTACCACTCGTCCCATCTTCCCTTAAAAAGTGGGGTGAAAGTTACCCCACCCAGGGGTGGACTTTAGCGAAATACCGATGGGGTCAAAAAGTTTCCCCCTTGAATAGAAAAATGATGTGTCCGAGCGTTTTCTTTTAAATCGACCTTAAAATACCTTGACACGTTTCTGTTTCGACGTCCGTGAAACCCCCTGTATGCTTTTGGGCTGATTGGCTGATTGGACCGGCCCGGAAGCAAGCGGCCCTTCGGGAAATTTCCCAAAATCCCTGTTGGCCCATCCGCCCCTGCCGAGGGGAGCAAGTTTACCAATTTTTTCTATATCAGTTATTAATTTAATCTAATACGCAACTAATAAGGTAACTACCACAGATTTACTACGTAAACAGTTTTATGGGTAAGCAGAATTACCGATGTTGACAACATTTTAATAACTATGTATTTGCATCTAACAATAAAAAACGTAATTGCCACCAAACTGCATATCCGCTGAAAAATGCATTTTTGACACGAAAAAAAAAATCGTTACAATGTTTCGTATCATGAGCGATAATAGACTATGAAGGCTGGAAAAGTTATGGTACCTACCTAGCGTGAAACGAGAATCTCCGAAATTAAAAAAAGACCTGCATTAGAATTAGAAATGGCGAACGTCGAGTAATGACTTGGTGCTCCATAGCCATTTCCTCCTCTGTGTCACCAGACCTAACACCATGCGACTTTTGTTGGGGGTATTCTACAACCCTGACTCAGCTAACAAATGGCATTGCAAATTGTAGTGAGCAATAGAATAATAAGTGACTAGAAAAACAAATGCCTTTAGGTCTATTCCAACACTTCAAAAATCGTCCTATGAACGGTTTGGAAACCACTCGTATACGAATTTCGGATTCTACGCACAAATTCTAGGCTTTGCGAGAATCATGACGGTACATAATGTAATGTAACCATCGTCATTCTGTATTAACTTGGGGATGAATCACTCTGTAAAGAATAGGTAATTAATTTGAACACCTGAAACTAGATTTTGTATATAAACATTAAACATTTGAGAAACTGCAAACTTGATGAAGTGGGCAGGGCAAAACTATTGCGTGGCAACGCCGGCCGTCTGCTGTGGATAATTTGCTGATTAAAAAGAGACCTTATTATAAAAACTGCAGTATTCTGCATTTTCTTATCAGTGAAAAATATAGAATGTACCGCTAAAAATTACCAACTGCGTTTCTTTAGGACAATGGATGTATTGTAAGCTACTGGATACACTAAAGTATTGAAAATGTATAGGGAATGAAACCGTGATTGGATAATATTAGCCAAATGAGGGAAAATAAAATATTCTGCGTTTGAGTGAATAAAATACACTACAAATTATTGTCATTTCAAATACATTAACAATTTCTATACAGGCATAGCATCTAAATGCATCAAATGAATTTTAAATTGCACTTCAAATTAGTTGTTACCTATATATTATATAAAATTGCAGTTTGAGATTAGCAGAATTGGAGGAAATACTGTTACGTATGTTTTATGCTGAATACATATTACATTTTAATTTGTTATGTGCAAAAAATGTATCATCGGTGGAAACAGATTTATCTCGAGATTTGAAGATTTTCATATTCCGAATAACGATAACGATTCCGAAAATAACTTCAGGCTGTTCTAAAACTTCCTATTGATAGTGAAGTAATACATTTTCCCTTGCTACCTTGCCTATATACCTACAGTGTAGGTATAATTTTTAGTCAGGAATCTCAAAAATATTGTCTTGCTAACAGTGTTGCCTGGTCATATTTTGTTTTGTCAGTAGATTACCAGTTAAAATATCAGTAGAAATCAGTAGACAAATAAGTTGCCTTGTTAAAGGGGTAAACCATATTCAATTAATTATTTTAACTACGTTTTTTCAAATCATTGAATTGTATTAGAAAATCAAACACCAATACTACTTATGAGAAATAATTTATTAAGATTAAGACACATGAGATATTCCTATTAAATATGCACTAGCCTATGGGATGCCCTATATTTGGTTCTATATTCTTGAAGAGTACAATTTCTCGATTCCAAAACTATGTAGTTTGTCTATATTTGGTTGAGCCGGCTCCAACATATTTGGTTCTAAAAATTTTAAAAATACTATCAGAGAAACCAAGTACTTCAAATTTTACCTGCAGCTTTTACCTGTACAGGTAGAATGGTTCACAAAATCAGTAGTAGGATAGTATTTTTACAATTTTTGGAGCCGAATATATGAGAGACTGTTCAATCAAATATAGACAAACTATATATTTTTGGAATCGGGGCATTGTACTCTTCAAGAATATAGAATGAAAATTAGGGCATCCCCATAGAGAAATATAATAAACCAAGGTAAGAGTTACCGATTCATATGCGCGAAGTGGCAACGTATTTCTAGTGTTTTCTTGTAGCACATGGTGTCGCTAGCATAGCTTGGAACTATTTGACAATTCTGACATCACCTTCCATTCTTATATCTATCTCTTTTTAACAGATGCGATAATCAAGGAAGAGAGGATAGAGGATCTTTTATTTATTGTACCTATACATTGAGATTTCTAACCTGAAAAATTTGGAAAACGAAGAAAAAACATGACATTTTCATGACAAGTTCCAAACTGACACAAATAAGTGAACCTTCTCTTCTCAATTTATTACTTAATTAAAAATACATGATTCTGGTAAGATTTACAATGCGTAAATGGCTCACTTTATGCATAAGTAATGATAATCATCAAATACTAACCTATTATATTAGTAAAAAGTGAGATGTTTTGACTGCTTCAATTTTTGTTGTTGTTATCTTGCGGTATTTGTATAATTTAATTTTTATTATTTCTTCATTTACGTTATATTGTATAGTATATATTTTGTTTCTATACTTATGTTCTTTGTTAATTACCAAAGTTCAAAATATATAGATTCCTTCATGGACATTTTTTGTTTATTTATTTTTGTTTCTAGGCCAGCGCTTTTCTGCAATTTTTTTTCTGACGACTGCGGAAAAGTGCTGGGCCAGATTTCTACCTTCAAAAATAATAAAACTATAATTAAAAGTTCAAAAAGCCTGCCAAATGTTATTTAAGTTGGTCTTGTAGTGGACGGTGGCGCTAGTATCGATCTGACGTCATCGCGTTGCCAGTGTCGTACCACAGAATCGGTAACTCTCACCTTGGTTTATTATATTTCTCTATGGGCATCCCATTTGAAAAAAGCTGGAAGCATGCAAAATTTCACATTTCTGACATTCAAATTTCCTTTCTGACCATGGTTTCTGAAAATTCAGCCAAAACTGTACAACTTTTGTATTTACACCTTTTTTCTACTTGTAAAGGTAGAGGAGGTAGGTGGGGTGTCAATATATAAAAAAACACCCTGTACAAATAAGTGGATTATTGCGGAATTTATTGGTGAACCTCTGCTATTGAACTGTTAAAAAAAAAACACTCACCTAAAACGTGTATTTTTTGAACTAATGAGAAAAATTCATAACTTAGTGAATCAGGTTAGTATTTTACTTGAACAACATATTGGTGAAATGGATGGCTGGGTCCACCCATAAGTTTTGCAACAATCCACTCGTTTGTACTTGAATAACTTGTCACAATATATTACTAGTTTGGTAGAGTAACATTACTAATTCTTGTTGAAAGGCGAATTGACAAAAAGTGAATAATCATAATCTTACAAATTCTGACTTTATATACTTAGGTCTGATTCTGCAGAAATCAGAAACCAGTCAGAACGAATTTCATTGGTTGAAAACAGTCAGAAACAGTCAGCAAACTAATTTCAACCAATGAAATTCACTCTGACTAGTTTGTGATTTCTGCAGAAACAGACCTTATAATAAGTTATTGTTCAAGTACAAATAAGTGGATTATTGCGAATTTTATGGGTGGACCTCTGCGGGACGAGCGCAGCGAGTTCCGCAGCCATCTACTTACAATATACTGTTGAATTGTCCAAATAAGACATTCACCTGAAACATGTAGTTTTTAAACTAATGAGAATAATTCACATTTGAGTGAGTCAGGTTAGTATCGTAATTAAACAACATATTGATGAATAGATGGCTGCGGAACTCGCTGCGCTCGTCCCGCAGAGGTCCACCCATAAGCTCCGCAACAATTCACTCATTTGTACTTGAATAACTTGTAACATTATGTTACTAGTTTGATAAAGTTACATTACTAATTCCTGTTAAAAGGCGAATTGACATAAAGTGAATAATCATAATCTTACAAATTTTGACTTTATATAATAAGTTATTGTTCAAGTACAAATAAGTGGATTATTGCGAAACTTATGGGGCCACCTACTCACCAATATATTGTTGAACTGTTCAAGTAAGACATTCACCTGAAACATGTAGATTTTAAACTAATGAGAATAACTGAAATAACTCAATTTCAATACAAATCACACTGGACTGATCGGAGTAATCGGGCAGACGTCGTCCAGAGGATACTCCTAGAAATCCTAGCCCAAAGGTCGCGTATGAAATTATTGCTGTGACATTCTCATACAAGATTTTAATTTAAAAAATATCATAAAAAGCAGGTGAATAATGACAACGACTTTTATCAGTAGAATTTACATTGATATCAGTATATCAAGTAGACCAGTGGCCAAATCAGTAGACCTGGCAACACTGCTTGTTAATTACTATACCTACAATTTAAAAAATCAGATAAATTATAATAACATTTAAATAAATAATTAAAATTGTCCAATATAAATATGTATACACTCGTGTATCTAGATATTAATAGAGCTATTTAAAAACAATATCATAAAAAGTATGTATTACTAACAAATGCCTTGTATATATGGGTGGAATAAGAGACCTTGTAACCAAACATACTAAGGCCTCTATAATTTTCAACAATTTCAAATCACATGTGTGTAAAAAAATATTTCTATTATTCAGTTCCAAAGATTGGAGTTCGACATGTCCAGGCATTGCTCATGTTCTTCTACATGCTGGTAACAATGCTGACTAGATCCACAATGTCGATAGCTGTAGTAGCAATGACTGACAATTCAACATCGACAAATCCAGATATTGTTGTAAGTACAAATAGTTTTTAGATCAATGGAATGAATGGATAGTACAAAAGGGTACGAACGTGCATTATTGGCAAATTGCGGTAATTTGAAAATCGATTTTAATAACAGTTATCACTTTCATTATTGATGTCTACAAAAATTACTAGTTTACTTATTTTTTTAACAAAATCAGAGTTGTGGGTAAATTTTTATTACATATTACATTCATTAAACATTTGGGAAATATTTTGAGGCTTTTATTACTGGAGGATAGACAAAAACTGATGAAGAAAAGATCACAGAAGAGACAATCAAAAATAACAGGAGCTGCAAAGAAGCCTGTTGAATAAAAAAGGACAATAGATTAGAGAAGAGGGACAATGCAACGAGAAGCATAAGGTTGTCACAAAGGAAAATTGAAATTATAGTTTTAATGGATGAAATCATACTCTCTCCACGAACCGAATACGGAGACATATGTATGCTTGAAACTTTTATAAGGAACTACATTTATTAACAGTCCTACAAACTATGGTTCGAAATACAGAAGAGTGAACTTTGCGAAACATCACACAAAAATAAGAAGAATATTGAGAAAGTGAAGACAATGAGGCACCCTCTTAACTGGTTAGAGAACCAATCAAATAGTTAGAAACACAGGAAGAATTCCCAAAGAGTGGAAGAATCTACAGTGTTGTTCAAGAAAGCAAATAAACAAGGGTTTGGATACTACAGGTGTATGCACGCACAACTAATTATGACAATGAAATGGCGGAGATCCTTTAGAACGACATCTCTTGGATCCCAACGCCTAGCTTGGATCCAAAGAGGTCGATTCAGAATTTGCTCTAAGAGCTTTAAGATTTTCTCCTGCCTGCATCATAGACTTCACGCTTTATAAACTCTTTTTCTGAGAAAGGTCCTTATTACAAATGAACAAATGGACCTAGGCAAGCCTTGACGGTAGAACCAAATATGAAATAGATTTATAACTACAGACAAAAAGAATATCATTAAGGATGTGATTGTATTGAATAATTTCTCAGCAGGTAGTGACCAACGCATAGTTAAGGCCAAAGTTAGGATCAACAAGAAAAGAAAAAGCAAAGATGATATCTGTTTACGCAATAGTATTTGAAATTTAGTAAACTGGACTGCGACTGTAAAATCGCGCAAACAAATAGAAATAGAAATGAAAATGATACCATAGGGTTGTCGAAACACACAAAAGATATTTCCACTCACCTGGGTTTTCTTATAAGCTGTGTGTAGGTATATACGGGGATCTCCTGGAAAACGGTTCTCCATACAACCACCAACGTATCAGCATCGACTTAAGGCACTCAAGGTCCCTTTTTAACGGCACAAGACATAGACTTTTCGAGCTTAAAACACGGAACCGGAAAAAATTGCAACGTGCATATGAAGCACCATTTATCTAGTGTGGAAATCCAAATCTTCAACGGCTGTCTCGGTCGGCACAGGGTCGTAGAAAATACACTCCTGTGCGTTTTACGCGAAATTGACATTTAAGTAATTCTTTAATAAGAATGAGAAGAAACCAAATTTATAAATGATGTTGCGTTAACAATATCGAATACCCATAATACGAAATGGACACCTCTGAAAGACAGAACGGCGGATTAAGAGGAAATAACCTCAGAACATCTGAAGCAAGATGAGATTTAATTTGGATAAACTAATTGCGCAAATCAATAATATTTTAAAAGAAGCTCAGCTCAAAGAAATCAGTGCAGAACAGTGAAAACCACAAAAGAAAAATCGGACCAGAAAACCAAAATCTCATGAATTTGAGAGGACATAATATGAGCGACAGAGCAAATAACGATATTATGTGATACCTGAGCAAATACACTACGACTAGATAACTCCCGAAATAATGTCGCCTATACGTATCGTGTAGTAGTCAGTATGAAGTCAGTTCAAGCACAAGAACCCTTCAGATCAAATAAAGATCCCTGCAATAATAGTGATATATACACGAACCAAAATACGAGATATGTTATTTACGGTTTGATAAAATCGATAAGTGATCAGTAAATTTTTATATTGTCAACTAGCTGCTTAGAAAAGGAGGACTCGGTATTCAACCTTATTAATTTAATTGCCGATTCGGTCGGATGTTTATTGCAATTCAGCAATAAACGGATATAAATTGCGCTGCAAGCCGCAGCAAAGGCAGACTTAAACCAGTGCAAGTACCTCTCGTTGGAAAAGCCCCTCTGGAATTAAGTCTCTTCAGTGCAAGTACCTCTTGTTGGGAAAGCCCCTCTGGGTATCTTCAGCCTTATCGTTGTCCAGTGCAATTACCTCTTGTTGGGAAAGCCCCTCTGGACAAGGCATAAGGGTGACGATAACTAATCTACAGTCCCCCAAGCAGCGTTGACGTATGGCTCCCTATAAGGACCCCAGTGTTCGGAGGGTCATGCATCTTATAGGATTAGCGTACATGTAAGGGCATATTTGGGAAAATATATATCTATATTTTTATACAACGGTCGAAATTTGATCGTGGCGCCATCTAAGATAAAGATTCAACACCAAACAGCAATTTTTGCTTTTCCTAGCCATGCTGATGAGACCTGATAGGTCGAAACGCGTCTATGGATGGAAAAGCAGAGAAAATCAAGCCAAATATTTTTTTATATTTTTATACATATAACCTGAGCGAGTCTTTCTCCATCAACCCCCAAAGCTACAAACCTCCCATGTCACCCCCTTAAAGCGGGCAGTTGTGACAATATGTTCAATAGAAGTTCTAATTGTTTGTAAAATCGAGTTTTAGTAGACCAGGAATCCGTAACAGTATAAATGTATGCTTTCTGAACTATTTTATTAATTAACACAAAAAAAAATTACTACTACTAACTCCTATCAAACTACAACTATTTTTTCGACAAGTGAGAAAATACCAGCCCACTGGGCCATCAAATAAACTCGTCCTCTAAAAACATAACATATCAGCATATCGTAAAAACTAAACTGCCATAGCGAATAAACAAATAAGTTCATCATACTTGATTACTCTAGGGATTACTATAGGCATGCTATTAATATTATTAGCAAATAAAAATCACACGACCTGAGACCGACCCAGATTATTTAAAATCCGATAGACTTGAATTATTGACACTAAAATTACGAACGCTATTATTTGTCTTTAATAAAGGGACCATTTTTTGCAACGATGCGAATAATAGGTCTGTTCGCACAAAAATCACAAACCAGTCAGAGTTGGAGTGAATTTCATTGGTTCAAACTCGTTTTCTGACTGTTTTTCACCAATGAAATTCGCTCCAAATGGATTGTGATTACTGTGCGAACAGACCTAATAATTAACGATCAATTCGATTCATTGGGACTTTAATAGGATCGGTTTGCAAAACAAAAACCGGGGCATGAAATTGAATTTTGAATCTTTATGGGTTCAGAGTTTGCACTGCAGTCTCTGGCTAGAGCATTAAAATATTTAATTGAAAATGTCTCACCAATTTTATTACAAAATCGTGAACATTTGAAACAAAAGTTAATCGGTTACGTGACAATTCTTGAATACCAAATGTATTGCGTTTTCTAACAAAAGCAATAAATTATTTTTCAGTTTGTAAACGAGCTATAAATTTTGTATAGTTGAAACTGAGCTGCACCTCTCAAGTATCAAATGTAGGTACTTAATTTTTGTTTCTAAGAATTTCCTAATGGACCTTGATACTGATAAAACAGTGAGGCTGTTTACTGGCATGAGCGAGGGGATCGTTCTAGAGTTAAAATTAATCTTGTTAAAGTCAAGGACGTTATCCTGTAATTTCGATTGCGATCAAATGTGATTGAAAAAAATATATTCGATGGACCATCCTTATATTTGTCACTGTGAAAGACAGAAATTTGGAGAGTATCAATGTTCACCATGTCAATTAGTGTATGGAATGTTCTCGAAATATTAACATTTTCGCACATTTTCTAGCGACTTACCACAAACATATTAACAGGAACATTACCCCAGAACTACTTTTTTCAATTCGCGTTTAACTATCTCTTATCTGGTGGCTTAGTTTGTTATAAGTATAGTAAGCAAGGCTCTGAAAACACTCTTGTCTGTCCTCCATTTGTTCTCATTGCTTCTGGTTGTAGGGTATACTTCTTTGTCAGGTGCTATAGTTGTGAATTGCATTTGTTGGGGTAAAAATAAGGTTGGAATGAATAGTTAATATTCTGCAGCTATGGATGAAAGTAGGTACATATTTGCACACTTTAGAATATATTATATAGGGACCTTATACTCATCAGGATGAGATTAGGTTTGTAAACGCTAGATGTTAGATATGCGAATAGAAGCTAGAATATTTTCTTGATAGCTCTGTTTTGTAAAATTATGAAAGGTTTGAGATGGATGTCTGAGGTATTGCACCAAATTAGGGTGAGATATGATAAATGCGAATGAATCAACGAATTATTATATATCATTTTACGTTGCGATGTATCTGGCAACTCTTCCAAAAATTCCTACAGCAGGTACCATTTTTTTGCAGACATTGGATATGTGTGCGGTTCCCATGTAAGCCTATGATCAATGAGTAAACCAAGAGACTTGATATACAGTTCTTTCTTAAAGTTAAAGTGGCCTACATTTAGGGTTGTAACTTTTTGAAAAGTAGCTACATTTTTACGAATTAAGTGAGAATTCGAATTTGGAAATTGTCCGATGGTTGTTTGAACCAAGTTAACGTCTCTTCCAGAGTATACCAGGCAGGTGTATCCGAGTCTTCGGCGTACAGATACATGGCAGATCTTAGAGAAAGATTTGTTATAGAGTTGTTCATCTATACTAAGAAGAGAGTTAGTCCTAAGATAGACCCTTGTGGTACTTCACCTCTGACGTCAGCTGGAGTTCTTAGCGTATTATTAACAGTCACTTGTATTCTACCCAACAAGTATTCCCTTAACCAAGCTAGTGCCAATCCTGTCACACTATTCTGCTCCATTGTTTCTTATGACAAAAACCAAAATAATTTTTTTTCTGGAAAACTGTTAGAGATAAACCCATCGAAATTAGTATCATTGAAATCAGCAAAAGCAGAGCTTTCTAAAGAGCTATTAATATATAGGGTGTCCCATTGAAAAAAATCGGATTTTGGTCAATATTTTGAAAACGAGGCCCAATAGAAAAAAACTGAAAACGTCACTGAATTCTGCTTGAAAAAGTGCCTTTAGGAAGTTTTTACGGAAATCAGTTATTTTTATAAACAAAGAAGTTATGAAGATTTCAAAGTATTGCTCAAAATCGAGAATCGCCCTCTAGCGGCTAAACGGTTGAAGATATTAAAATGCGGTTTGCACCAATCAAAATTTCAAGAAATTTGAGCCTCGGAGTGGGGGGTTTATTTTGTTGTATCTTGCTCAGAAATTGACGTTTCCTATTAAAACCATCCAAATTCGGACACCCTGTACACTAAGAAGAGAGTTGGTCCTAAGATAGACCCTTAATTGTGGTACTTCACCTCTGACGTTAGCTGGAGTGCTTAGCGTATTATTAACAGTCACTTGTATTCTACCAAACAAGTATTCCCTCAACCAAGTTAGTGTCAATCCTGTCACACGATTCTGCTCTAATACTGATATCAATATACTGTGGCCAACCAGTATCAAAAGTTTTTTGTATATCCAATCCAGTGAAAGTGAAACATTGAATATATATCGGTAACTAGATCTGCTGCCGGAATTGTACTTGAGTTTTTTATGAAACCATACTGCTTTTTGACAAAGGCGTTAGATGATCCCCAATAAGGAAGTGCGCGAATTGATCGTTGACACAGGCTTCCAATATTTTGGACAGTGCGGGAAGGATTGAGATTGGCTGGTAGTTGCTTGTTAATTTAGAATCTCCAGTTTTGAAAAGTGGTACAATTTTGAGCTTCTATAACTCCATAAGGTCACATCATACTAATCTCTGGACTCTGGGCAATCTCGTTCATGACTTTTATAAATCGTTTATTAATTACCATTTTGTCCTTATTTGATTTTCTGCTTCTAATGGTTCCGATTTCCGAGAATAATCTGTAGCGGGCTTCGGTTTATTGGCCTCCACTTTTCGTATTCTCGGTAAACTTGTGGTTGGCTCCTGTTGGCTATCTGGATCGCAGATATTTTCATCATTTTTAGCGAATAGTTGGCCGATTATGCCATCCTTCAATGCGCAATTTGCAATTGTGAAAATCCATTACTGCTGCTGGCTGATTCCAGATTTCTTTGGAAACATAAGCTTTAATTCTATTTCTTCCACGTAGCTGGTGATTAAGAATAATAACGTACTTAACTTCAAAATCAATTCTCCAAAATCCTGTCCAGCGTCTGATGATAACGTTTCTGGGAATAATGCATCGTCAACTTCTTCCAAAGGGCATATACCATTTTTACCATTTCGTGATGTAAAAGCGGAGGTTAACCGTGACTTGAAATGTAATATTTCCGTGAACCAGTATGATTTCATAATCTTGTGCAGTTGATTGTGTGCTTGCGTTTTACGAGAAAATTTTGCAAATTATTGATGTGATGAGGTCAATGAGGTGAGTGATGAACCGTCACCGTCAGTATCCATGACAAGATCTCGAGTAGTTAAATATGGTGTGATGGGTTGTTTGGGTTAGAGGGAGTGGGTGATATTTGATACGATTGGCTCGAATTTAGTTTCGGACACAGGAACAACACACGACATAGGTCCAGATCTTCTTGTGTGATTTGTATTAGAGGTGACTCACAGCACTGATAATGATTTAGGTCTCAGTCGCTAAGGTGCACTCTCACGCCAGAGTATTCCATTACCATTTACCTCTCAAGAAAATATAGAGGTGTCTAAGTTTGGGAGGGAAGTGTGATGAACTTTTCTGGAAGATATTGTTTCTCAACAAGATCGTGCATCTCCACAGTTTGTGTTACCAGCACTATAAGATTATAATTCCAAAACGAACGATTTCCTGAAAGATAAATTGGATGCATAGAGCCACATGATCTCCAGATTCAACTCAAGATTTTTTCGATTGAACCCTAGACTTAATGCTATCCTTCAATGAAAAAAGGATTAAATACTTGCCAAATTAAAATTCTCTTTGAGAGGGTATTATCTCTTGAACTGGTATAAAAAATTTCACAGGAGGAACGCCATTATGGCAGGGAAAGGACTTATAAGATGACCCGACTCTTTTTTCAGTTTTCAAGGGGGTTGCCTGTAGCTTAAGAGATGGATTAGTGCAAATTGTATATCAAATTTGTTAGCAAACTTTGACTTTTTTCATCAAAATGATTAAATAATGAACACAATGATTTTCAGTTAGGTTGTTTCTATCCATTAGAAAAAAGTATTATTTAACCAGTAATTATTTAATAAATGGGTAGGTAGAGATACTTAATACAAATATTCCATGAAACTTTCTTCCTTTCAGTACTACGACTGGACCAACAACAATATAATCCTTTCATCGTTCTATTGGACTTACATAATTCTTCAGCCATTTTCTGGATACTTCTTCAAACAGTTTGGACTGAGGCGATGTCTACTGGGAACAATGATTCTTAACGGGATTGCATTTACTTTGATACCATCGGCAGCTGCTGGCTTCGGGTACATGGGTGTTATCGCTTGTCGGTATGTCATTTTTGTTGTAAACTATAATAGTACAATTCACAAATTTGAAAACATGTTGTAAACATTCATAACACAAACATTAAAATATTTTGAAATTTTACTGGAAAAACATTATGATGATTACCTATTAAAAGTAAAAAAGTCAACAACATTTACAGCATGATACAGGGACTGCTACAGGGGTTTACTTTTCCAGCCTGTCATGCAGCTTTGGGACTCTGGGCTCCAGTTAATGAGAGGTCTAAACTGACCGTACTTATTTATTCAGGTCAGTAATAAACTTAAATATTTTTTTTCACATATAAATCCAAAATTAAACTTGTAATAATTTTTATATTCATCACTGAAGGCTGATAAAATTAGTTAATAATGAAGATCTTGGCATTAATCCAAATAAAACAATTTTAGGTAGCAATGTTGGAGTAATGTTGGCAATGCTAATAACAGGTTACATATCCTCATCTCTATATGGCTGGCCTTTGGTTTTTTATCTTTTTGGAACTACAGCACTATTATGGTGCATAGCTTGGTTTTTATTGGGATTTGATAGTCCAGCTAAACATCCAAGGATAAGTGAAGCTGAAAAGCATTATATTATGGAATCGCTTGAGCATTGTGAAAATGAATTGGTAAGAACCTTTTTTTTGCACTATTAATTGTATTATAGTATTTATTCAAATTTCAGACAGACTCTAATTTACCAATCAAACAAATATTAACATCATTGCCTTTCTGGGCGCTGGCAATTTGTAATATCGGTAACACTTGGGGAAATACTGTATTTGATTTGGAAGTTCCCATGTACATTAGTAAAGTGTTAGGTTTTGATATGAATGCAGTAAGTACCTACATGAAATTATTTTATCAGGATTATGACCTAATATTTATCTATTTCTATAGAATGGAATGTTATCAGCTCTTCCTCAGTTAACTCAGCTATGTCTCTCATTAATTTTTGCTCCTGTTGTTGATTACATAGTTGATAGGAAGGTGCTTTCCCTGATGAACTGCAGGAGGCTATGCCAAGTATTAGGTAAGATGTATGGAAAAGATTTAGATAATTTAATTAGAAATTCATATCAGTCTCAAAAATTCTCTAATAATATTAATTTTTGATTGGTGACATGAAAATTGCAAAACATATAGAAAAGCCAATTTTTTTGGGGAAAATTTTTGCTAGAACAGAATCAACCTATAGGGGCCAAGATGCTTGGAACTTGGAATTTATGTATTTTTCTTCACTCTCAAAAAACTAACTTGTTAAATTGTTCTATTTTTGATTCAATATGTTTGATAATATTTTTTTACAGCAAACCATGTAGTTTTATAATCTGAATAAATTTTCTTTTAGGTTCCTTAGTTCCTGCGGCTATGCTTATTTGGCTTGCATTTATTGATAAATCTCAAACCGTCTTAGTTATAGTATTGTTAAATGTGATAATAGGATTAACAGTGTTTCTGTATAATGCATCCTACATAAACCACGTCGATATATCCCCAAAATATGCTGGTCTTATGCTAGGAATGGAAAATAGCATATCGCAAATGGTAGGACTTACAGGACCTATATTTGTGCAGTATGTTGTTACAGACTTGGTAAGAAATAATTTATTTCTTGATCTCATTGTGGTACTTTTTTCTCTTAAAAATATTACTCATATTGAACTCAAGAATAAAATAAGTCCTTTCCTCTCTGAATTATTGTTATTGATGTTTTACCTATATCCTCTGTTTTTTTAGAGTGATATTTATCTCTGGAGATACGTATTCCTGTGTATATCTGTGATAACAGCCGTGACAGCATTAATTTTTATGGTGTTTGGATCAGCCGAGATACAATGGTGGAATTCATGGCAAAGTTCTTCGACTGAAAATGTTCGAGATCCTTTGAATGAAGAAACAGATTTAGAAAATAAAGTTTGATATTGAAAAAATAATGGGTTTTATTTGAATCCTGGGGATGATGCAAGGAAATGTGATGTTGGGTTTCCAGCATTATTTAGGATTTCCGACAAATCTGCTCTATGCCTATCTGAAAACAGCTTAGAGAGAAATGCCCAACCAAGACCAAGTTAGTCACCATGCAACAAAGTGTATGGGTATGGGTTGGCCACTGGTGAGAGGAGCTTTCCAGTCTGAGGCAAAGGAAGAGGTAGAAACGATATGGATAATATAGGCATATTAGTTCCATCATAATGACCAGTTAAGCTTATAAAGGAAAAATATTTACTTATACCAAATTGGTCATGGCTGAACTAGTAAATGTGCAAAGTTAGACAGGAATTTTATTTTCAATTTAGGTACCTACCAACAGTTTATTTAGTATTTATCTCTGGTACCTACCTAATAGGGAAAAGTTTTACAGCTGTATGCAACATCCTCTTTTAACTTAAAAGCGCTTTTTGAAACTGGTTCCTACCTTTAAAAAATTGTATGGTTTAGAATACACATTTTTAAAAGTGACCAGTTTTTAAAAGCGCTTTTACGTTAAAAGAGGATGTTGCATACAGCTGTTATAATTTTATATTTATGTTGTATGTTCCTCGGTATGTTCCTCGCTAATCTATATTTTAAATGTATGTGTAATCTAAGTAGTTATGGTCAGTTATTTCAAATGCTTTCAAAAAAAAGAAAAAAAAAAAGTTTACGGCATTTTTAATAGCTTTAACTTTAGAAAGCTAGATTATTTGACTATGGATTATCTGTTTCCTGGTTCAAGCTACTAGTTGGAATGAATTATAGACTCATTTACTAATGTATAAATTTAGCACTTGAGCTAAATAAAAAAGAAAAACTAGGAAAAAACAGACAATTTGGACATTTTACGACAATTTATGTATTGAGCTTAGAGACCAAAATCAAGAGAAATAATAATAAATTAGCAATAAATGAACAGTATTTAAATAAAATTCAACTTGAAATATTCCAAGATTACAGATCATTTTGCCAATATATTGAAAATAATAAAAATACAACTGCTATACCCAACGTACGTTCTGAAAAGAAATATTGTCAAATCAAATCAAATCAAAAAATAGCTTTATTGTCCTTAAACTTGTGTTATTGACAAAGCCATACTTAACATCTAAATATTAATCTAAATAAATACACAGGTCAAAGTTATGAATAAAAACCTTAAAATCTAAAGTTAAAATGACAAATAACAAAGTAGGCAGCAAAATAAAACTAAAAATAAAAATAAGAATAAAAACAAACAAGCAAAAACATCAACCTCATACACAACACCAAATCAAAAATAGGACAAAATACCATAATACATTTAATTAAAATTGTCATTGAAAAATCATTAACGTGGTAATAAGCTTATTCGCAGATAATGTCTCCTTTTGTCAGTCTGCGAAATCTTTTATAACATGTCTGACTCCTCAAGCATAAGGGGAGATGGTTAAATATTTTTTTCCCTCCGTAAATTATAGAGCTCCGAACTAGTTCTGAATGTGGGATCGGCAATCTGAGAGTGTGAGTCTGACGCATATTGTAATGACCGCCTGCAGACATCTCGTGTCCATGTTTCTTAAAAACGAGACAGACTGTTTCTATAATAAACAAACAACAGAGAGTCAGGGTACCAAGCCTCACAAACAATGGCCGACAGGAATCACGAACCCCTGCACCGTATCTTATTGCCCTTTTCTGCAAAATAAATACAGAGTCAAAATGGTAATGAGCACAACATCCCCAGAAACAAATACCATATCGAAGGTGGGACTCGATCAGTGCAAAGTAAGAGCTCCTGGCAATGGATGGATCCAGATTTTTGGAAATTATATATTCTGAGAGCATAACATCCAGAAGAGATTTTATTATGAATACCAAATATGTGGGCCTCAAACTTCAAAGTATTATCTATTGTTAATCCCAGGAACTTGCTTGCGTTAAGAGTCGTGATTGGTTCGCCTTCCATAAGAATATTATGCACATCACACTTAAAATTTAAGACATTGGCCTTGGAAACATTGAAAGACAATAGATTGGCATCGCACCAGCGTTTAATTTCTACAAGATCCTCATTCACAATCGGCCCGAGCAGCTCAGCATCTGAATCGTGCCATCGGCGAAAATGGTAAATTTACCTCTGATGGGAAGATGTGAAAGATTATTTTACATACATCAGAAAAAGTAATACCTAGGCCTGAGGAACACCAGCACCAGCACCAAGCTCCTCAGAGGAGTCATTATGTTAAAAATGACGATCTGGACGCGCCCAGACAGATACGATCGAAACCACTCCAGCGACGCGCCCCCTAAACTATACCTCTCCAGCTCCACCGCAGTATTCCGCGGTCCACACAATCGAATGCTTTAGACAGATCACAGAATACCGCTGCAGCAACCTCTCCATCGTTAAGTCGGAAATAAAGATGTTCGAGGAAGTCAAAAATGGCATTATTTGTACCCATTTGATCCTGAAATTCAAATTGCTGCGTGCTCATAAGGTCATGATCCCTAATAAAAGATACCATCCTTGCCTTCACCAACCTTTCCACCACTTTAGCCAAGGTTGGCAACAATGCAATTGGGCGAAAGTTAGAGGGAGTGTCGTGGTCTCCACCCTTATAAAGAGGCATGATTACGGCCTTCTTTAGACCAACCGGAAATGCGCCAGAAACAAAGGAGTCGTTGATTGCCCTAGCCAACTTGCCAAGGCCTGAAGCACCACAAACGGCAAAGCAAGAAGCACCCTCAAAGATTGCCCATCCCAACCATAGGAATTCTTATTATTCAATGTGCCAAGAATGTCGCGAACCTCAAGAGCATTGGTGGGGGTAAGAAAGAAAGTTTCAGTTACTGATAGATGGCTTAAATATCCCCTAGGATCAATCTTATTTGAAATGCCCTGGCATAATATAGTGGCAATAGAACAATAAGAGTTATTGAGATTGTTCGCCTGTAATGAAGAAGAAACAGATGCACCTTTACTCTTCCCACGCAAGTCATTGACAATTTTCCAGGATTCCCTAGATACTACGGTACTTATTGAAGTATCTGATGAAATTAGCACTATTTACTTGAAATTTCCTTAGTGGTGTAGTGAAGGCAGCTCATGTTTTTTACCAAAGACACGTAGGGCCTCAGTATATCACGGCCTACTCTTTTTCTTCTTTATTTTACTAAGAGGAAATGCCAAATTAAAGTTATCATTAATGACAGAATGGAAGCTTTCCAATACATTATCAGTAGACAAAGCCGTGTTCCAGTCTACTCTGTCACAAAAAAAACAAATCTTCTAAAATTCCTCCTGGTGAAAAGCCTACCCAATCTTAAGTTTTTATTTTTCACCCTTGTGTCAATTTGGAGAGAACATGATACGGCCTTATGATCAGACAACCCGGCATTCGGCACTGTATATTTTACTTCATCGTTATTAAAGCTAGTGCAGATATAATCAACAGTGGAAGCTGATAAGGCTGAAAGCGGAGTTGGCACATCAACATGCCTCGTTAGGTTAAACGAGCGCAAAAAATTTCCCAAATACTGGGTCTGTTACATTTATCTAAAAAAATTATATTAAGATCTCCAGTCAACACTATAGAAGTATTCACAGGTATTCCATTTAGTAACAATTCCAACTTATTTAAAAATGATTCTACACTACTTTAGGAGACCTGAAAATTCCTAAAATATAGGTATAATCCGTTGCATGGTTCTTGAGCTACGACTACTGAATAGACAGAAAGAACAATGGGCTATTGCTGCGTTGTCATATCAATAATAGTATTTATTATTACACGAAAATGAAGGAAATTTTATTGCAATTTTCATGTATTAATAAATATTATCGATATGACAATTGACAACGCAGCAATAGCCCATTGTCCCCTCTGTCTATTCAGTAGCCGTAGGTCAAGAACCATGCAACGGACTTTACCTACCTATTCATTTTCTTACAAAAAACTGTGGAACATTCAAACACTTTTTCTTCTAGTAGGTGATCAAACCTATCAACAGATAAAAACTCAAAATTACAAAAAAAATCATTTCGAACCAAGATTACTGTACCACCATGAATATATTTCTCGCGTGAGTACGCAGATATAACTCTATAATTTAAAATATCAAAAAATTCATTAGGCTTTAACCAGTGCTTCGCCAAAACAACAACACATGGAAACTCTATACCTAGATTCTAAAAATAACAGCAGTTCATCACCCTTAGATCTAACAGATTGAATATTGAGCAATAATACTAGGGTAAGTTTATTTCAGACTAAGTTTGCTCTAAAAAAGATGTGTGAGATTCCTCAGAGTTGTGTGACAGCTCATTAATTGACAACATCGCATCACTCCTAACTGTATTTGAAATTTCGCAATTAGATGCGTGAGCTGATCTTAGTTTAGGCATTCGAGCTGCATCAACGCTATCAATATACAACTGGAACAGTCTATATATTGATCTTATATTATGACGAAACCTATAATTTGTTAAAACGTTATAGTAATTAACCGAACAGAGATATTAATTTTATGAGCACAGAGCAAGTGACCCTATATAATGTATAGGTAATCCTAAAATACTGACTTTCTGAGCACTTACAAAAATCACATATATACAAAAAATCACATTTGTTTTCCTACCAATAGTTAAAAGATCCCTGATTTGACAGTAGTTGGGCAAAGTCTAAACACAGTATGACGCAGTCTTTTTCTGTGTAATTTACTACCAGTGGAAAAACACCTTTGGATATGACATGCGCTGTAGCGCCGTTAGCAACATATCCAGAAACCTTAAACGAGTCGCCGAGGTAGGTTGAGAGTCGAGAAGAATAGTTTTCAGCGCTACTGTCACCACATATTAGAACATTTGTTTTTTGTTGATCTCTACAGTTAAACAATATGTCCGCGGTTGCATTGCGTTTTGAATTTGTGTTGTTCATCGCTGAGTGCGATATGGGCACATTTGTAGTGACGCAGAAATAAACCACCAAGAAAAACCGCCAAGAATAAAATAATTGTTAATAGATCTGGTTATTTGGTTGAAAAATGAAACAAACAACAAACAAAACATAAATCAAACTGGAAAAATGAAATCAAAATCAACTGCATCTTACCGAAAATTAAATACCCCAGGAGACCACAACACTCAACCAGTTACAGCCAGAACTTCTTGTAAAA